TGCTATTAAACCAAAATCATAAGTTTTACCTATCTGGCACGGCATATAACACACACACCCCGCTCACACACACACACACACACACACACACACACACACATACACACCACACACACACACACACACACACACACACACACACACACACACCCCACACACACACCATGGTTTACCCAAAGGTGCAGGGAGGCAAAAACCAAGTGTGCTAGGGAATGGAAGAAATATAGAAGGCAAAGGACCCAGGAGAATAAGGAGAACAGTCGTAGAGCCAGAAACGAATATGCACAGATAAGAAGGGAGGCCCAAAGACAATATGAAAATGACATAGCAGCGAAAGCCAAATCTGACCCGAAACTGTTGTACAGCCACATCAGGAGGAAAACAACAGTCAAGGACCAGGTAATCAGGCTAAGGAAGGAAGGAGGAGAGACAACAAGAAATGACCGTGAAGTATGTGAGGAACTCAACAAGAGATTCAAAGAAGTGTTCACAGAGGAGACAGAAGGGACTCCAGAAAGACGGAGAGGTGGGGCACACCTCCAAGTGCTGGACACAGTGCACACAACCGAGGAAGAAGTGAAGAGGCTTCTGAGTGAGCTAGATACCTCAAAGGCAATGGGGTATTAAGAGAGGGAGCAGAGGCGCTATGTGTACCCCTAACAACAATATTCAATACATCTATCGAAACAGGGAGATTGCCTGAGGCATGGAAGACAGCAAATGTAGTCCCAGTCTTTAAAAAAGGAGACAGACATGAAGCATTAAACTACAGACCAGTGTCACTGACATGTATAGTATGCAAAATCATGGAGAAGATTATCAGGAGAAGAGTGGTGGAACACCTAGAAAGGAATGATCTCATCAACAGGAGCCAACATGGTTTCAGGGACGGGAAATCCTGTGTCACAAACCTACTGGAGTTCTATGACATGGTGACAGCAGTAAGACAAGAGAGAGAGGGGTGGGTGGATTGCATTTTCTTGGACTGCAACAAGGCGTTTGACACAGTTCCACACAAGAGATTAGTGCAAAAACTGGAGGACCAAGCAGGGATAACAGGGAAGGCACTACAATGGATCAGGGAATACTTGTCAGGAAGACAGCAGCGAGTCATGGTACGTGGCGAGGTGTCAGAGTGGGCACCTGTGACCAGCGGGGTCCCGCAGGGGTCAGTCCTAGGACCAGTGCTGTTTCTGGTATTTGTGAACGACATGACGGAAGGAATAGACTCTGAGGTGTCCCTGTTTGCAGATGACGTGAAGTTGATGAGAAGAATTCACTCGATCGAAGACCAGGCAGAACTACAAAGGGATCTGGACAGGCTGCAGACCTGGTCCAGCAATTGGCTTCTGGAGTTCAATCCCACCAAGTGCAAAGTCATGAAGATTGGGGAAGGGCAAAGAAGGCCGCAGACGGAGTACAGTCTAGGGGGTCAGAGACTACAAACCTCACTCAAGGAAAAGATCTTGGGGTGAGTATAACACCAGGCACATCTCCTGAAGCGCATCAACCAAATAACTGCTGCAGCATATGGGCGCCTAGCAAACCTCAGAACAGCATTCCGACATCTTAATAAGGAATCATTCAGGACCCTGTACACGTGTATGTTAGGCCCATATTGGAGTATGCGGCACCAGTTTGGAACCCACACCTAGCCAAGCACGTGAAGAAACTAGAGAAAGTGCAAAGGTTTGCAACAAGACTAGTCCCAGAGCTAAGAGGTATGTCCTACGAGGAGAGGTTAAGGGAAATCAACCTGACGACACTGGAGGACAGGAGAGATAGGGGGGACATGATAAACGACATACAAAATACTGAGAGGAATTGACAAGGTGGACAAAGACAGGATGTTCCAGAGATTGGACACAGTAACAAGGGGACACAGTTGGAAGCTGAAGACACAGATGAATCACAGGGATGTTAGGAAGTATTTCTTCAGCCACAGAGTAGTCAGTAAGTGGAATAGTTTGGGAAGCGATGTAGTGGAGGCAGGATCCATACATAGCTTTAAGCAGAGGTATGATAAAGCTCACGGCTCAGGGAGAGTGACCTAGTAGCGATCAGTGAAGAGGCGGGGCCAGGAGCTCGGACTCGACCCCCGCAACCTCAACTAGGTGAGTACAACTAGGTGAGTACACACACACAAACACACAAACATACACAAACACACACACGCACTAGAGAGTGGACCTATCAGAGACCAGCGAAAAGGCGAGGCCAGGAGCTGTGACTCAACTCCTGCAACCACTTGTAGGCGAGCATAAATAAAGGATAAATAACGGATATACACAAACAGAAACATTAATACTGATCCAAGGAAAGACAATATGAGGCCTAGTGTTGAAAGTCGCATTTTGACACTACCTCGATTACTGTACTTCCTTAGACTGTTATTCTCTGTTTTACCCAATGAAGTACCGTCGCAGGCACTCAAAACACCACCCTCTGAGCATGAGTTCGAGCAACCTGGTATCACCGCGAACCATTCCTGAATCTGAACCCCGGTATCGATACCCGCTTGTGAACTAGTTGTGAACTCGGACACCCTCTTTCACTTCCCACTGAAGTTTGGAAAACATGGTACGTATCACAACTCGCCGAGCGGACATAAGCTATCATGACCCTCTGAACGTGAATTTGTACATATGGTATCATGAACAACTGATTATGAGTTCGAAACCCTGGTGTCACGACCCTGGAACCTAATATCGTACCACCGGTATAACCACCTACTTAGTTGATATCGTTACATTTACGGACCACTGTGCGAAGCGTTAGAATATCCGTATAAATCCTTTGTTGTGCGTCCTCTTAGTGCAAGACAACTGTGATCCAGGTTATTACACTTGCAGTGTGGTAAGCAGCTGTAAAGAATGAAAAAAAAATCCACCTAATTGTTATGTTAATTTAGTGGCAAGACGTGGGTAATGTTCTACTACTTGCGGACTAATTATAATATGAAATGTTGGGAACTTGGTGTAATTTCCTTTTTTTTTGTTATTTAGTGAAGTGCAAAATGCTGTTTCGTCGGCCATCTACTCCGCTCTCCAGTCTTTTGTGTTTTGTTTCATTAGAGCTTAATCCATCCCCATGTTCCTTATACTTTTCTTTACATCCGTCTCTCATTCATTGTTCCTCTCATTACTCCCTCTCTTTCCTCTTCTCTATATTTTGTTTCTTATATTATCTCTTTCCTATCTTTTCTTTTTCGTCCCTATTACACTTCCCTTAACCATAGCCCATTCCTTGTCATTCGTCTCAATTTTCGTCTCTGCATCTCTCTTTTATTTTATCCATTTCTTAGTTCATATTCCCCTATTCCTCCTCCTCCTCTTCCCACAGCTACATTCATCTCCCCCGTGATACTCACCTGTCCTTGGGGACGTTGACTGCCTCTGCGGTATTGTTAAAGGCCCAGCTGAAATTGACAATGGGTGGATTGGCTAAGACATTGCAGGAGATGCGAGCGTTCTCATGTTTAGCGACACTGTGCTGGGACACTTTGTCGGAGGCGCACACTGGGGCATCTGCACCATCAGGGCCACATCCGCAAACATCCGCACGCCCATTTGTCAAAGGGCCAGATAAGCACCGCCCATCGTCCTCCATTAGCGACACCCACAGGTTACACGACGAGGAAAAAAAACGGAGGAGAGATAAAAAAATGGGTTAGTTGCTTTGCATGAGGCTGATCTGAAAGCACATTTATCGGAATGGGAATGAATGACTTGCCGTCCCTCACAAATGAAAATAAGGCAAAGGTGTAGAACATGTCTTTATTTTCAGGAAGAAAGGTTTGCTCTGCACCTTTGGGTTTTGTTCATTAGTGCCGGCAGAACGTCTTACATTGTTCTTATGAACAACCAAAGACAATTTCCCATTTCAAGTACATTTGTAGTTTGCATTGTGTATTTAATATAGTTTTAGAAAAGCGACCTGAGAATCTATATTTCTGAAATTAAAACATTTCTTTTTAAACGAAATTCTATAAATGTATCTAACTTTCTCTTTACACCATGAGTTACAAAGAAACTTATGTGCCTACTTAAGCCTCTTTTTTTGTGCAATCTTAAGTTTCTCATTATTCAGCAGAACTTCAGCAAAAGAGTATCGTGAAGATAATTCCTTTCTTCTACTAGACATGTTGAGTCTCAACCACCACACAATGTCTTTCACTCAGTAGAAAGCTTTATCAAGACATAAAAATAAAGCCTCATAGGAACCGAAACGTAATTTGAATGTAAGCGAATTCTCTAGTCTATGTATCAACATTACCTTCGCTAGCAGAACAGTATGTGAACACCATACTACCAGTTATGATGCTGAAATAAACATACGTCACTGAAAAAGCTCATACGACGACGCTCACTTTCCCAACAACAAAGACATTTATAAGAGGCATCCCTCAGTATATGACACCAATGACAACCTTAGGCAAAGCTCTCCACAACCTACACAAGTGTCTCTTGAAGGTTAAAACTCAGTGATATGAGCCACTCACCAACTGACGTCGAGTGTAAAGGAAGGTTAACAACGCACTAACCCTTCAAGAGGAGTTTCTTAATGTTGGTGAAGGGCTCTTGATGAAAGGAATTAAAGATGCCTTACCCTTGCTCGGATCAAACCTGATTGCCTCCCTTCCCCAAGACTCTGATTAACCCTAACGGGTTCCCAAATATTTAATTAATATAACTACAACAACAACAGTAACAACAACAACAATTAATAATAATAATAATAATAATAATAATAATAATATAGTAATCATTATCATTATAAACATTAACACTATGATTAAAGCGTGTGCATTATGTTGGAACACCCTGTAAAATGAGACACTCACACTTGACGTCAAGGGTGAGAGGCGGAGAGGCTGTGGATCCTTCAGTATTGGTGGCGTGGCAGGTGTAGGTTCCAGCGTTGGAGCGAGCGACCTTCTGCAGTACCAGAGTCATGTTGGACACCAACACCCCCGCTGACGACTCCAGCTGCCCACCCTGCTGCTCACACCACAAAGAAAAGGGAACTTGAATTAAAAAGTTGACTTGTTACTGTAAAGGTATTTTGTTTATAATATAAATGAACGAGTAATAGCTGACAGGTGGTGGAATATAGACAATTTTAGCAAAGGAAGCATTTATTTACTCATTCAAACACCCGTCCAGCAAAGAAACGAAGCTCTTAGCATAGTTTTGAAGTATGTCACAGGGATTCGAAATCCAAAACATGGCACCGAATTTATCATCTGTAACTTTTGCTATACAACGATTCCGAACTCCAGAAAGGTTTTAACCGAAGTATTTTAGCTGTGGCACTTTTACAGTCCATTGAATCATCACTCATACAACGCTACATCCAGTAACAGCTAAAGAAAACTTGGCACGTGTCACTATTAGCGTCACCAAGGCTGACAAAGGAGGTGGGGTCGCTACCACGAACTCCACCTATGAATTCATGTTAATTGAGCTACTTGAATAACACCGCCATTGACGAGTAATTCTCCCGAAAAGAGCTGAAGAAATGGACCAGGTTTTTCTCTCACCAACTCCCAAAAAATTATGAACAAGAAAATGTAGGCAAAAGTTGTGCTGTCTTTTCCAAAACCTAGCATATATGGATTACCCAAAACACACAAATCGCAAGCGTTCCTGAGACATAACATCCAGCATTGACAGTGCACCTCACGCCCTGGTAAGCGTTTTGGCAAAACACTTAGACAAACAGCTCGGCTCTGTCAGCAACTCGCTTCTTCGCCACTTTCGAGGTTCATTCAGCAAGATAAACGACATCTACATCAAAAAAAGTAATTAGCTAGCCTAGACGTGACTTACCGCTTCACCTGTTTCCACTCCTTTAAAAAGAAATTTAGTGTAAGATCAAGATAAAATAAAACACAAAAATAATGAAAACAGTCTCTGTAGTGTTTGGCATCGACAAGAGTTGTTTGTGTTGGACGCTGCAGCGTCAACAGTGATGTAAACTCAAGTCCTTCGTCCATCACATCATCAAATATTGCCTAATTCACTGCAGGCACCAAGTATGTAAGTGGTGTCTTGTAAGTCTAAAACATAAGTAAATGGAAGCCTGTAAGTTTAAAATATGTGTAAGTGGTGACCTGTGAGTCTAAAACTGATAAATCAGTGAATGAGTGTCTGAAATGTGTCATCAAAATAAAAAATAGTATGTCACCTAGTATTTTGAAATATGCAAAAAACAAATTATATTAATCAGGAAATCTCTGCGAGGAAAATTTCTTCCGAAAAAATAGATATTTCCTATTATAAAAATTGAGAAACAAATATATTAACCTTGGCTAGACTTGTTGCACAAATAAATAATTGTGGACAAAAGAATTCGAAAAAAATATTATCAGTATAAGATGGCTTACTTGTCATAGGTACTAAGAACAGGTATCCCAACAATAATTCATTACTGACAATATGTTAAATATATGCTAGGCTCATCCTTAGGTACGTAGCGTCCACATGGAATTCACAACTGATAAACTTATCAAGATACTAGAGAAAATACAACAGTTTGAGCGATATTATTCTCTGTGCTAAAGAGATTAAACTATGAGCAGAGAATAAAGAACTAAATCTGATAACGTTTGATAATCACATGGAGGAATTTGAGAGGGCATGTAAAAGAAAGAAATTAATAGTGAACATAAAATGAGCAAAGAATAAAAGAGTAAAAGATTTAGGCACTGGAAAATTGGATATCAGTTTGAAAAGAGAAAGTGAATAGAGGCAGTGAAAGTATTTACATGTTTGGGAGTGGATGTGTTAGCAGATCTATATGTGAAGATGAATGGTTCAGAGAACCGACATGTTGATAAATTAGACACATGTGCAACTCTTGATTACCTCATTCTCCTCCTGTTCTTCAAGATTCTCCTTTGTATGGACTGATGAAGCCACTGTGTGGCGAAACGTTTCCTCAATAAAGATACCCAAGAGTTACACATGTGTCTAATTTATCAACAGATCTATATATGATTGATTAAATTAACCGTAGAACAGGCGAAGGGAAAATTGTAGTTGAAGTGATAAGGCACCTATGGAAAGAAGTTTATCTATGGAGGTGAAGTACCAGGGTATAGATAAATAAACCTTTTCATATGGGTGTGAGGCATGGGCTTTAAATGTTGCATAGAGGAGGAAGCTACACTCAGTGGAAATGTAATGTTGGAATGCAATGTGTGCACTGAATATTTTACAAGAAAATAGAAGACAGTGTAAGCTTAGAAAGAGTAGAGTTCAGAGGGAAGAGGAGGGGTTGTTGAAGTGGTTTAGGCGTTTGTAGAAGATATTGCAGAATTGGATAAAGAACAGGGTGTATAAATTCCGGGTAGGAGACGGATGAGATTCTCCCAGGTAGGATTGGAGGATGAGTGCGAATATGGTTTTAAGCGGCAGGGGCTAGAGCATGCAAAAGGGGTGTGTGAACGTTTAATATCATACTGGGTAGAGAATTGTGGTTTTAATGATTTGAGTG